GTTCCGACGGCCTCCCGAACACCACAGAAACGCCTCTGAGTGGGCCTCCTGGCCTGACGCCATCCAAGTTCTCCGGCGCGGCTCCTGCATTTTTAGCACGGGTTTTCCAGCAAGAGACTGCGCCGAAGACCAAGCAGCCCACCTCCTGTGGCCCAAGCCCTTCGCACAGCCACGGCAAGTCTTATTCGGACTGCTGTCCCCAATACTGTCGGCATTTGGCTTTTGTTGTTGGGTCATTACAGGAACACGCAAGCGACGGAGACGCGTGGGATAGGAAAGGTTAGGAGGCTTCCTTGGAGGTACTCCGCGCTAAACACATGGAACCGGTTTTCTTCAGGAATGGATGCAGACCGGCAGTAGCCACAGGCCAATCCCCAACGGAAAGCGGCAAGGCCAGCCTCCCCGAGCAAGACCTCCCAGGGGGTGAAAGAAAAGTAAATTTTTCTGCGCGAGTATTTGGGCCGTTGTCCGTAGCCATCGGCCATGAGCCCTGCCCCTGTAATCGCCTCAAAAATACGGGGGGCCGGAACGACGAACCCTTGCCCAAACCCAGCAACACATAAGCCCAGCGAGCCAAATCACCATGCAACCCACATCGCCCGAATTTGTTTTGGACTATTCAGCCTTGTGGATGTTCTTTTTGCACCACCTCCGGCCCCCCTCGCTTTGAGCTAGTCTCATTGCTTTTTGCTGGGGCAAACTAGTAACTAGACCGTTTATACCAGGGGTGACGGCGCCTCCTGTCCACGTTCCGGGGCCCTACGCGCCGTCTTGGACAGAGCAGTTGGGTGCAGATGCCGGGTAGCCTTTGCCATCACCGGGGGCGAAGTCCAGAGTCCTTGCACTTGCCCCGGCCCGCCAAGCGACACATTTCGATGGGGAAGTGCCGCTCCTCAGCGCCTGATGCAGAAAAATTTTCGTTGGGGGGACTTTGCCTACACAACCAAACATCAGCGCGTTTGCAGCGCCACCGGCAAATGCACGCGCAACCCTGACAAGTGCACGCGCGCGACCAACAAGTTCGCAGCGAGGTGGCTCGATGTTCCAAATGTAGTTTTCACATGAATCAAGTAAGGATTTGGGAACGGGTATGCCTTTGTTGGTGATGAGCATTGCGGCTTTTGATGCCACCGTTTCTCCAGTTGTTTTGTTTGGTGCTGGCCACCGCGCGCTTCACCAAGGAGATCTCCACCAGATGGATTTAACATTTACGAGAATTGTTTCGTACCGTGGTGGGCCCGCCTGCTGGCATTGATTGGTCCAGCGATTGGCATGTCATCCTTCATTTATGGAATGACCGGGTCCAAAGGTTCGCGAATTTTTTCCACATCAAAACTTGGTCCCGCCGTTGTGTGGAGCATTATTGGAAGTTGGGTGGCTATGTTGCCGATCTCCCGCAAGAGCGTTGGATCCACCGGGTGCTTGCTTGGAACCCTTTGGGTCGTCGTCGTTCTGGTTGCCCCCGGGCAAGTTGGCCAAGTAAATTTGTCTCGTACACTCGTTACCGACACTTGGGCAATTGGCAGGTTTTGGCTCGTGATCCTGATTTGTGGCATGGATTGCTGGATGATTTTTGCATGTTTTGTGGTTATGGACGAAAGGCCATCGTAATATAGAGAACCCTATCTGGTTGGCTTCACTTGTCCCACCTGCACCCAAAGGGGCTGCCGACAGGCCTGCAGGTTCAAAGTGTCAAAGTGGCAATGGGCGAATGCACGGAACATGTTTCATCGCAATCCCACAAGATACAATTTTGTTGTGGTTCCATCATAACAGATCTGTCGTGAGGCCGATGCGTGCGTCGCAACCAATGTGTTCCTCCCGGACCTCAACATGGGACACCCCTCACCGACGGGCGCCGCCTGAGGTCGTTGCAAACGGCCTCCCAGCACAGCAGGGCGCGCAGGCCGCCGTCGACGTCACCCTGTTTTCGCCGGTCGCCAGGGATGGCACGGCCCATGCGCGCTGCGCCGCCGAACCTGGGGCCGCGGCCACCGATGCCGCCGCGGGCAAGCGCTCCGAGATCTATCCCGAGTTTGCTCAGGCTCCCCAGCTCGCCGTCCTCGCCCTCGAGACCGGCGGCCGGCGGGATGACGACTGTGAGCACTTCCTCCGGGTCCTCGCGGCCGGTCGCGCGCAGGCGCACGGGGGGCGGCGCGCCGCCCTGCCCCGCCGTCCTGGCAGACCTGACGCAAGACGCGCGACTGCTCCCGTGTACATAGTTCCCCGCCGTCTCACCGTCTCACCTCTCGCTCGTTGGAAAAAATCAATTGCGAAAAATGCCACAGCCCCAGCCCAGCCGCAGATCGGTGACATGGACTCAGAGCAAAGGGACTGTATCATTCCCAGGCATCAGAAACAAACCTTGTTGCACCTGCGGCACAAATCCGAAGAATTTTCGTCGCCTTCCCAAGTGGTCAAAATCACATGTCCCACTTGGTATGCGGCCCACTCCGGTCCCAGTGGCGTATTTCACCGCCCGCGCAGCAAAGGCAACGACCGATTATGCTCCGAACTCACTGCTGAGGGGCGGTGCTGCTTGTTGCTGCTTGGCCGTTCTCAACTCACACGCAAATGCGGCAGCCGCTGAAGCACCGAGCCTCCTTGGTTGCAATTGCTTGCTTGTGCCCTAGCCTCCTACCAGGTACAGTGAGCTGATTTCAGAAAACGGTGAAGTTGGGTACCCATCTTCTTTTTACAACCACGATATTTTTTGGGCGTCCGAAGCACAAAAAAATGTAGAATAAACCTCTTCCACGGCAGCTCCCTTGTACATAGCTCCCCGCCGTCTCTCTCAGCTTCGGTGCTGCTCTTTATTTAGAAAATTTTCCCACCTTGAAACAAAAATGAGCTACCAGAACTGTCAAAGAATGCATTCTTGAAGGGTTCGTGTGTGTGTGTGTGCGGCATTGGTGTGAAACCAGCGGCAAAAACAGTTCGGTATTAGCAATCTAAGGGCAACATTTGGGTCACATATTGATGTGGCATCCAAAAAATGTTTTCCCACAGCGCTATTTGAGTAGAACACTGTTGAAGCAACAGCTAATGATATATATAGGGTTGGTCCATTTGTTTTGGCTATCCTGTTTCATTTGCAGGGATCAAGGGCATATTGTAGCCCAAGGTGTGTGTACAACACAAGATCGAACAATATCTAATAATCCGTTGGCAGGTCGTGTTGTCATTGTACGACCTTGTGCGAAACCAAAATGATGCTCACAAAATGTTTGTTACATGCGAGTTGTGGCCCTACCGGCGCCGTGTACTGCGGCTGGCAGATTCGATATTGCAAACCTTTACATGATCAGTGCATGGCATTTGTTGTCATCAATGCTGGAAGCCCCTGGCGCCTCATTCACTCAATCACTCACTCACTCACTCAATCAATCACTCGTTCACTCACCCACTCCCTCGCTCGCTCGCCGCCGTCACCACGATCGCCACCTTCATCACCACCATCACCTCTCTGGACCCCGATGCGTCTAGATCTATAGACTTTCTGCTGTTAGACCTCACACACACTGTTTGGGGTTTCTTGCCGGGATAATTCCCAGATAGCAAATCTATGGGGTTCTTACTTCAAATGACAATGCCCTGGTCACGCCCCGTCGTCGCCGGAACGCAGCGGGGCGCTCTGCATTCAATTAGGCATTTCAAGTTTGCTGTGGTATTCAATCTGGACGCATGCCGCGCCTGTGTGCGAGAGATGGTTACCGTGTATTGAACAAGAACCTTGGCCTTTGAATCCTTATGCCAGCCCAGGATGTACTCAAACGGTGCCCCCAAAAATGTATGACGTGGTTTTTGAGCAAAGGCTTGTGTCCTCACCCAGAGAGAGCTGAAATGCTTTATAGGAGCAGGGGGCTTGACAGCAGCGGGCGTAACAGCCAGCCTTTTGACAAGGCTTGAGTAGGCCTCAGCGCTTTTACACTCAAACGAGGGCTGCAGGTGTCCCAGGTTTTTGGATATGAGGTTGGCTCATGGATCGTACCTTTTCATTTGGTTCCCATTTCACTTTCGGTAGACTGTGTGCACGTTTCTGTCCTTGGGGACATGCAGGATGCATTTCGACGCAGTCTGCAACAGGAAAAAAAACTCACCGGTTCCGACTTCTTTTGTAAACACGTTTTTTGTGGCACGGAACGGTGGAAAACAATGTGTTCATAATTTTCGATTGTGAGCTGTTGTGTTGCTGCATGTCCCGCAGCCCAGTCTTGCAACACCCTTTTTGGACAAAAACTTTAAATTTTACTGACAGGTTTGGGTTGTGATTGGCACAGTTCATTTCCCCTCCCTGCCTTTGATTTGCTGGCTATCCACACGTGCTCCCCCTGTTGCTCATCTCGAGTCACTGGAGTGACGCAAGCCACACACATGGTTTCTAGGCCACTGTGCCACTGTCTCATTCAGACGCTTGTGCAAGCCAGTTGCCAAGGTTTTTTCCGTTATCCATGCGCATTGGTGAATTCGATCTAGTTTTCCACTGGAAGACCGCGCCTCGCAATCCCAAGGCGAGAAGGCGCTGCAGCATATCAAGGTGCAGGATTCACACCGATTTCATTGACTCGGTGCTTTTTAGCCTTTGCAAGACTAAGATCCCATTAACTAGATAAAAAAACACCAATCGGTATTTCATTGTTTGGGTGTGAATGGAAACTTGGGTGCGGACCTGTGGTCAACTAAAACGGCTTTCAGCGGTGGCTTGGCAATTGCCAATGCCATTGCCATAGCACAAATCTTTCGGCCGGTCCTTTCTTTCCCCACCTTCCTCATCTCGCTTCTTAATTGCGGCGTTGCCGTGCACGTCCAAAAAAATCACCCTGCCGCTGGCGCAGGCCCAGTGGCACAGCCTGGCGGCATTTGTTAGAGCTGAGGAAAGACATGCCAATAGCAAAACGCACGGCACGGCAGAAATCAATGCTGACCTCACGAGACTGACCGTTAAACGCTTGCCTTAGGCTGAGCCGCCGCAGCCGGTGAGACCGGGTAGAGATGGGTGAGGTCGACGTTGTCTCGCAGACCCCGGTCCTTTGTCAGGGCATTGGGCACGGCCGAGCCATTTAGGTTCGATTCCAATTCGCCGTCCAACGTTCCAACCTCCCATGTGGCCATTGCTTGTGGCAGTGCTTCTTTGCCCGACACGTGCCGTGCCTGATGACGACGTCATCCGCAATGTCTTCTCTGCAGCGACTGCAGCGGCTTGGGTTACCGTGCTGGTTGGCATGAGTACCCTGTTTGCAGCGAATTTCATGTTGAAGAAGAAGTGCCCTGCAGTGTTGCAGGCCGAGCGTGTGAAGGGGAAAACTTGTTCCTGGGCCATGATTAGGACGTTTTTTCTTCTTTTTTGGGTTGTGTGGTGGCTTTTGACAACAAAGCGCCATAATTGAAGGTTTCATTTGTTTGGAGTTTGGGTGCTGTCCAGTGTGCTTTCGAGTGCTATTTGCCTTCCATGGCCAGGATGCGTGTTGACAAACATTGTGTAACTGACACCATTCCCCGTCAAACCCGTGCCATTTGGGTAGTGTGGTGCCCTACAGGTTTGGACCTCATGACCATGGTCATGAATGACGTCCAGGCTAAGTGTGGCGATAGCAAACTGTCGGACATGGACGCGCCAAACATGGAGGGTTTACCGGAGGCCCAGCGGCTCTTCGGCTTGCTTTGGGACGACGTGAAGGACAGACGTTCGGGTCGAATTCTTTCTCCGGTTCGTTGCGGCAGAAGGTTTTTTGGTTGCTTCGTCCGCTTGGGCCAGGAAGTTCGTACCACCACGTATGGGATCTCCGAGACGCACCCCGCGGTGAACTTTGTGGAGGATCTGTTGAAGGTGGTCATCGAGAAGGATTTCACCCGAGCCATGGAAGAAACCGAAGAGGCGCTGTCCGCTCAGCGTGCCGGAAAGTGGGCAGATGGGTCGAACGAGACGTCGCACCGAGAAGCCCTGGATGGGCGTCGGCTTCAAGAGATCTTGGACTTTTGCGGCAAAGTGTCCAAGATGCTTCCACATCTCCACTTGGATGTGCAGGCGTTTCAGCTGAGGCCAGGAAAGACGCCAACGAGGAAGGAAAACCGTTGAAAACGCCCCTCCCATGCTCGTTGTATAGGTATGTTACCTGCACGTAACGAAGGCGTTTTTTGATGTTTCTTGATTTCTTTTTGATTCGGGCCGTTTTGTGGATGACCGTTGCCCACGGCGGAGGTGCCAAGATCTTCAGAAGAGGCTCGCCAAGAGTTTCGCAAAGACGCAGTTCAAGACGCTTCTCTCAATTCAGTTCGCAAACCACAACCCCAAGTGGAGCCTGTTGGCTCCTTCTTTTGGAGGAGATTTTGTGAGTACGGGTGTTGGTGTTGCGCCCATGGCAACCTTCTGTCACCCGTGGTGAGCCCCCTATCCCCCACAGCCTGAAGATGTTGCAGGTGACCACTGCCATGGGAAAGACCATCCAAAACCCATGGAGCACATCTCCAGATCGGCCCTCCGGGCTCTTTCACGGCGCAAAAAGACGACGAAAACGATGGCCTTTTGTTTTCGGAGGGGTGTTTCTTTAAGGGACTCTTTTTTGCTTCAGATTCTACTTTTCTGCTGACGCTGCTTCTTTGCTTTGTTGTTTTTTATGTTTTTCTGCTTTGTTTTTGTTTTTTCTGCTCCTTGCTTTGTTGCTTTGCTGCTGCTGCTGCTGCAGTTTTTTGCTGTTGCAGTTGTTCTGTTTGTTTTTTATTATTTGCTCTTTGCTGTGGTTGTTTTTCTGCTTTGGCAGCTGTTCGCTTTGTATTTTTGTTTTTGCTGTTTTTTGCTCTGTCTATCTTTGTTTGCTTTTGTGTTTTTGCTTACTTGTGTTGCCTTTATTGTTTTGTCTGTTTTTGGTTGCTCTTCTATCTTTTGTTTTCTCTCGTTTTCTGTTGCGCTTGATACGTGTTTTGCTTGTCGTATGTTCTTTTGTTGGCTGTTGGGTTTTGTTGCTATTTTGTTTACTGCATTGCATTTGTTGTTGTGGCTTCTTGCATTGTTTTGGGCTTTAGTAGCTGTGTGTTGCTTCTTGCTTTTGGCGTTTTTGCTTTTGCTGCTGCTGTTGTGCTTTTCTGTGTCTTGGTTGATGCTGGTGTCCATTTTTGCTTCTCTCAGCATGCGCTGTTCCACGTCCCGCAGTCGCAGTCGGGCTGCTGGGTTAGAGCTGCCATGCAGTGACTGCACTTGTGGCGTCGCGAAAAAACATTTCGAACTAGACGACGAGTTTCCCGAAAGCATTTTTCACCACGTGTGAAGTTAGAATGTGAGTTGTGTGTTAGGTGTTCAGTCTGAAGTGTTAAGTCTAGTGTGTTGAGTCAGTGTGTGGGTCTCTGTGCGTGTGTGTCTATGTGTGTATCTATGTTTGTGTGTGTATGTGTCTCTCTCTCTGTATGTCTCTCTCTGTATGTGTGTCTCTCTGACGCGCAGGAACACCTTTTTTCTGCAAGTTCTTCACCTCTCGCAAGCCACCGACATCTGGGTAGCGCTGCGTCCACGCCTCAAACAACTTTCGCAGAACAAGCAAAGTGAGAAGACCGGTGAGTGGCCAGACAGTAAGCTTGAAGCTCGACATTTGACGCCAGGTTATGCATTCAGTTCTGAAGCTAGCACAGAGTTTGTTCGATGTCACAAACCAAAATCGAGTTTGTTCGATGTTTTTTACATCCATTCCTTGAGAAGCCAGGGAGCACGTCGCTGATGTAACCTGGCCCTACCGGCCAGTGTGTCCCCAGCAGGGCGCATTAGCGCATTGCCTCTGCTGTCATACACCAATGGTGCGTTGGCCCCAAGGACACAAAGCTGTTACCCGCTCACCGGCGGCCAAGCGGTGACAGCTCAGCTCAACTTCGTGAGCATTCGAGCTGCTGGTACGGGGAAATGGTAAAGCATATATCTCTTCTTTTTGGGAGCCCGGACCTCGCTGGAATGGAAGCAGCGTTCACGCCTCCAGGAACTCTCGCAGAACAAACCGAGCTGGAATGGAAAATAGAAAAGTTCTGAGCCAGCTACGCAACAAGTTTGGCTAAGCATTGACCTGCAAAGTTGTGACATCAAGAAGAGAATTGCACATCGACATATGGTCAGAGGTAACGTTTTCTTCACTCTAGATGTAGTTAACCAACCACTATGCTTGTCATCTTCTAATCGACTGTCCCAAACAAAAACGTGACAAAGTAGCTTGAGGTGACACGCAGCAGCGCGCTCTCTCTGCTCACCAGCGACACGCCGCGTTTACGCCAGCATGTTTTGCGCTGCCCAGTGGCACGGCGCCACGCGAACGCACTTCCCACCAAGGCCACGCAAATCCCAATCACGAACGTACTTTGGCCACACGGTCTGTCCACACACTAGAAGCAAACATGCCACATGAAACCGCCAATGATCCCTCTCACCAGCCACACGCCGCGTTTACGCCAGCATGTTTTGCGCTGGCACGGCGCCACGCAAACGCATTTTCCACCAAGGCCGCGCAAATCCCAATGGCACTGCGACATCACGAACGTACTTTGGCCACACGGTCTGTCCACACAATTAGAAGGCACAGCGACATCACGGACGTGATTTCGCCACACCGTCTGCCACTTCTGACTCCAGCTCTGAAAGGCCCTTTCCCGCACTACATTTGCACAACAAACTGGCCACTTCTGAGTCCAGCTCCAAAACGCTCTTTCCCGTACTACATTTGTACTACAAACTGGCCACTTCTGAGTCCATCTCCAAAACGCTCTTTCCCGGATTACATTTGTACTACAAACTGTCCATCCCTGAAGGGCTCTTTCCCGCACTACGTTTCTTTGTACTACAAACTGGCGCCACTTCTGAGTCCAGCTCCAAAAAGCTCTTTCCCGTACTACTTTTGCACTACAAACTGGCCACTTCTGTCCACACACTAGAGCGTTTTGTACGAGACTTCCTCCAAAAGTGAAGCGCCAAGTCTCCAAAACGCGCGTTTCGTGCGAGACTTCCTCCAAAAGTGAAGCGGCGAGTCTCCCAAACGAGCGTTTCGTAGGAGACTTCCTCCAAAAGTGAAGCGGCGAGTCTCCAAACCGCACTCTCGCCTGCATTTTGCGCACTCGACACGCACGATCTCCGCAAAGGGTTGCGCCAGAACCGGACAAATCGCACTCTCGCCTGCATTTCGCGCCCTCGACACGAGCGATCTCCGCAGAGGGTTGCGCGCACACCGGCCAAATCGCCTGCATTTCGCGCGCTCGACGCGCGCGATCTCCGCAGAGGGTTGCGCGCACGCCGGCCAAATCGCCTGCATTTCGCGCGCTCGACGCGCGCGATCTCCGCAGAGGGTTGCGCGCACACCGGCCAAATCGCCTGCATTTCGCGCCCTCGACACGCACGATCTCCGCAGAGGCTTGCGCGCGCATGGGACAAATCGCACTCTCGCTTGCATTTCGCGCACTCCACAGGCACGATCTCTGCAGAGGGTTGCATTCTCGGTTGACGCTGTTTGTCCCACCCTCCGCCGAGAATTTAGACAGTGGGGGAATGTTTTTCATTAGGATGTCTCCCGTGAAAGTTTTTTCATACTTACACTTGCGTGCTTACACTTGGATACTTACACTTGCACTTGCATACTTGCACTTGGATGCTTTCATGCTTACACTTGGATACTTACACTTGCATACTTGCACTTGGATGCTTTCACTTGCAAACTTTCACTTGGATACTTCAGTGTCATTGTAAGTATAGAAGTGTAAGTGTTCAAGTGTAAGAGAAATGTAAGTGTTCAAGAGATTTTCCGGAAGAACCCTTCGCAGTGCTTTCGGGAAAAAACAAACAAATCCAAAATTAAAAGTACACCCCCAGCAAAACGAATCCAGACATACACACATACTTATAGGTTTTTGTGTATGTATGTTCCCAGTACCCAGACATACATACATACCTCTAATTAATTGAAACCAGACATACATACATAGACACCTCTAATTTTCTAGGTATACATGTTTCCCAGTAGAGATATGTATGTTCCACCCTGGGGTTCTTACTCACCCCCAGGTTTTCTCCATGGATTCCCGGCGCCATTGAGTTGCGAGTAGTGAAACTTCCACCCCACATGGTAGTTGCCAAGCTTGCCTGTCCAAGCACTTGTGGTCGGCAACGGGTGCAAGGTGTCGATGGGGTTCAAAGCATTCCACAATTTGCGTTGATTTGGGTTTCTCTTCATGACATATCTAAATTGTTTAATGTATTCAAGAGCCAACAGCCACCTAATGAGAACTGCTTTGCAGCAGGGCTTTCGACAAATGCAGTTGGTGTGATCGATTCGCTGAGGAAAAATTTGTGGAAATTGCTGGAGTTCATGGTGCCTATCATGCCTTCGCTGGTGCTGTCCATTGCAACCAGCATGGTGGCGGATAGCTTAGCTGTGATTTATCACCAGGTGAGCGGCGACGAGCCAATGGTTCCAATGTTCGGAGTGAGGGGGGCGGCTGAAAAGAACCCCTGGTCGACATGAAGCTTTCACACGTTGACAAAGATCATGTGCCATGTTAACCATGCGCACTGCGCTCCTGAACCGATCAAGAATTGGCACATTAAGTAAAACCCACAGCAGATGCCACATCAGGGTGGTTAGGTCAAGCCGCATGGGTACATGGACCCAACTGATGGTCAAAGGGGACAGCGTCTTCGCTGCGTGAGCGGGTGAAGCCGCAGGTCCGGCGCTGGGCGGCCGTGGGCGAAGCCGCTGCGGCGGGGGAAAGGTCTCAGGTGCTGTGGCTCTTGGTGGATTTGGTCCTGGGACACTTGGCCATCGAGCTCCTTGGACGACGGGTGGTTTCCACCCCATCGTGACCGCCGTTGTCAGCGGTTCGGCGCGCCGTTGGCCCCGCCCGAAAGCTCCCCAAGGGGGAGGGGGGGTTCGGTGGTGGCCTCCAGCAGCACTCGGTGCGCCGCCGCTTTGTCCGCGGGGGGTTTCGCTCCGTCGATCGCTCTGGGAGCGGGACCGGGTCGCCCAGGTTCTTCCGGATGATTTGCAAGTGCTATTCTGCCCGAGCCCAGAGCACTTTGTTGCACCGGGTTCGCTCCGGTGTGATGCAAGCGATCGTGCTGCAGGTTCGTCTGAAGAACGGAAGGGTTGCTGGTGGTCTGGTTTGGCCAATGGATTTCGTGGATGATTTGGGAGGTCCGTCCTTGGGAAGCCCCACCCCTTCATGGCCGGACGTAAGTCATGCTGGCTAGACCTGGTCGGCCATGAGCTGGCCAGGAGCTAGAGAATGGTAACGGCCTGAATCAGGGATGCCGCCAGTCGCTTGGTGGAAGGAAGCGGCCCAAACGGCCGTGGTTGTCGCCGCAGGACTTTGCATATTTCGACCAGAATGCGTCCGGTGCACTGCAGGAGTGGGGTAGTCAATCAATATCCGCCATAAAGAGGCCTCTTTTGTAGATGGTGCCGCCACTTTGGAAGACTCACTCGTTCATTTTTTTTGGACTTTGATCCGCCACATCATCTGCACGGTCATGGCCTTCGTGGGAGGAGCGCCTGAACCGCGATGCCGAGCAGCTGGGCTCCAACATCATTGAGGTGCCTGAGAAAGCCTTGAGCGCTGTGGTGGTCATCATCCTGACCCTTTTCGAGGCATGGCCCGAACCAAATATCGAGCAGCCAACGTTGTGGCACAATGCTTCACGGCCCATCGACCAGTGCCACACGGGCAGTTTCCCTTTGGGTGTGGTTTCGGTAATGGAAGGTCTCTTGCAATCAGGTCAGGCACTGGTCACGATTTGGTCCCGAAAACTTCTTGGAACACCGGAAGCAAAACACATGTGAAAAGGAACCTGAACGCTTTGAACTCCTGTGCCCTGTTCGAAAACAGACCGGAAAAAACACAAGGTGAAAACCACACCACCACACGGGGTCTTGTTTTGTTTTCTTTGTGCTTGGTTTTCTGCATCCTTTTCGTTTTCGGTCCGGCCGACCGGGTCAGGTCTACCTGGTCTGTCCGCTGCCCCTCTTCGCCGCCGCCTGCGCGCCGATTCCCGTCATCGCCGCGCTGCGCTGGCACCTGGAGAAGCTCGTGGGGCGCCTGAACACGCGCGGGCGGAAGCTCACAGAGGCCATCAGACCGTGGCTGTTCTTCGTTGTGGTTATGAAAAGGGTAGGTTTTTGAAAGAAAAGACCTGGATGCTCCTCAAGAAGTCGAAGAAGTGTTTTTTTCAATGCATGGACACCATTGCTGGATTGAAGAATGGACCTGTTTACATAGGAGGCAGCCGCGGGGACTGCGGAGATGCTCAGCGGCTACAGAAGGGGAAGTTGGAACTTGGAACGTCACGTCGTTGTGCTGTTATGGGACACAACCAACCTAGGTTGGAGTTGGAAGCCATCTCTTTTAGGGAGGAGGCCATCACTTAGTAGGTTGGAGGTCTTAGTAATTCAAAAGAAGATGATGGTTAAAAAAGCTTATTAGCCCAACAACGCTGCAGAGTCTCTCAGTTCTGTTGATTTTTTGGGTGGGGTGAGGAGTTCCAAAAGGACCGGAGGTCAGCTCAGCTCAGCCTGGCGGAACTGGAGTGGACCATCCCAAGCCGTTTTGGAGAGTTCCAATGTGGACCAGCGTGGGCTTCCTGGCGGAGCCTGACCGGCACAAGAGACAGAGAGCTCACCCCAAGGATTCTCAAGGAGATCAAGACCGTGAGGCAATTTGCCAACGAACGCCACGAATCCCTGCGCTTCAGCCACGCCGAAGCGGCGCGCGGCCAGATCCAGGAAGACTCCAAGGTCCTCGAAGCGCTGGCAGGCGCCACTGAACCGCCCCGAACCGTTCGACCGACGCCCCGACGTCGCCCCGCGGTGTTGTGCAGACCGCGCAGGCCTGCCCATCACCATGGTGATTGTGACGGGGTTGTCTTACACTCAGTACATTGGTGCGGGATTGGTTGAGGAGGGAATGATGCTTCACTGCTTAGCAGAGTTTTGGGTTTCCCGATTTTTGACTCTTTTGACTTCAGTGACTCGACCACTGCGGCGCACTGCGTCGGCACACGCACCCCTGCGTCTCTGCTTAGGATGACTCCGGGACTGCTCTTTGACGTGAGCATCAAGTTGAACTTCTGGGTCGTGGATCGTATCAATCGCCTGACCAATCTCCTGCCACAGTTGCGCCAGGCCTTCGAACCTTTGGCACGAAGCTCGGTCTCGGTCGCGTGGAGAAGGATCAGGTTGAAAGTGGGGTAGGGTTCGAGAGAAAGGGGATTTTGCGGTTGCAAGTCATTTTTGGGGTGTGCCTAGCCCTAGGCGGATATGAGCCTAGAGCCTATAACTCTTAGGTTTCGGATGCGCAAATCGCAGAAACTTCCAGGAGCATACTTGTTGAATATTGCAGTGGATTTCTTCCAAGAGCATCCAAGAGCACCATGATAGAGGATGGAAGGATCTTAGAACAGTGATGTGCAACCAAAGGTAAAGTTGATCAGAGCGAGAGAGAGAGAGATGCAACCCACCAATCTTGGTCATCGTTACAGCCAGTTCTGATGGCATATTGGCAGACAAGAGTAAAATTGTCATGTGCAGACCTGCTTTTTTCAACTGGCTAGAGGGCAGTCAGGCACGCTTTCTGGGCTACTGAATGGCGCAGCATCTCAGGCGTTCAAGTTCAGCCGCAACCAGCCACAGTAGAGGGGAGCCCTTTTCCAAAAGGACCTTTCGGTCAGACATTCATCAGAACCACCCACCCTATATTCATACGTCCATGTTGCCTCCTCACAGCTGAAGACTCGAACCTGAAGGAACCTGAACGTTTCCTCCAGACTCGAACCTCCATGGCCGGCGAACCGCAGGACGATTCCCCCTCTTGAGGAACTTCATGCCCTAGGCCCTAAGCTGTTCCTTCTTTTCCCACCAAAACGGGCAGTAGCGAGAGTTAGCAAGAATGAAGATGTCCTGACACATGGTGCCATGGTCCGACTTGAACTTTCGTTCCCCCCCAAAAAAAGGACAAGAGCTAAAATTATCGAAGTTCTCCTTCCGGCAACTCCCAAGAACCACTTCCTCTATTCGCCGGGCTCAACAAGGGCCAAGCTCTCTGCCGGAGGAATCTGCGATCTGCTGGATTCGACGCCCAAGATCGAAGCGGCCGGTCAGCGGCACTCGGTGCCCGTGGCCGACCGCGCCGCGCTGATGGCGATCCTGGAGAAGTGCAGCGCACGAGCGGAGAGAGACGCCGAGGCCTCTGAGGCCAACCGGTCGTGGGGGTCGGAGGACATCAGGCTGTGGCTGGTTTTGCGGCTAGGAGTAGTGGTTTCAGAAGTCATCAGTTCTCGTGGTGAACGAGAACTGAAACATCACTGAACAATATCTGGGGGCATTGCGGAAGGGAGATGGTCGTTGGTCGTCGTACGTCGTCGTTTGACCATTGGAGCATGGGATGATGGGATGCTGTCATGCGCCCGAGAATCACGACTTGCCAGTCGAGATGGCTGCAGTTGAGCCCAAAACACTTGGCGAGTTTTCTTTAGTGTTTGAATTTGGACGTCTGCGGCATCCTCGTGCAATCTCTTGCATCCAGGTTTCAATGATGTTCAATTGCTTCATCCAATCAGTTTATATAGTCTATATAAGCTGATTGACTGGAAGAGATTGAAGCTTCTTGGAGTATTCTCCTTCATCTTCCTCACCAGTTCCAGTTGTGACAGGAGGATTTACCGCGGCGGTCGCCGGGATCCACCGTGCTGACGGAAGACTTGGACGTGCTGCACGACGGGCGTCCGATTCCCAGGGGCTCTGCCTTGCTGTCCTTCGAGTGCGGAGCGTGGGAACACGCCATCTCCAGCCCAGCGGCGCTTCAAGGACAGGAGGCCCGGCCGGGTGCTGAAAGAGACACCCAGAAGACCCAGAAGGTCTATGGAAAGCACGGTGATAGCCAAGTGCCTTGATCCCACAGGGACGTTATGAAGTGGAGAATGTGGAAGATCCAATTCGTTTTGTGGTTCAGCTTTCCCCCTGAAAATGCTTGGAGACTGCGCCTCCGCCCATCCGCCAAACCAGAGCTGCTGAAGGACTCGTGGCCGAACCCTTTCGATGTCCAACCAAGCGGTGCAGGGATGGATTTGGTATTTGAGGGCTTGGCCTCTGGTCACCTGGGTCGCCCCCCTCCTTTTCATCCCCAGGACGTCTCTGCTTCTCAGCCACGGTCGTCCATGCTACGGAAGGGCGCGCGCGTGGTCGACGAAGCGACCGTTCGAACGCCCATCCGTTTCGCCCCGAACGCGGAGACGTCGCGCCACCGCGACACCTGCACCTGTTACTAGTAGCTTCTTGTTACTACTAGTAAGGCACTTGTTACTACTAGCGATGCACCTGTTACTAATAGCGTCCTTGTTACTACTACTGTAGTACGAGGTGTCCTTTCCGCTGACCTTGCACTTCAGCGTGCAGAAAGTCCCGGCGCACTTCGTCGGCCGCATCGACTTCGAGGAGAACGGACCCGGTGCGGTGCACGGACGTGCGGTGCGACAGACGGTCGGTAGCCAATTGTTGACAAGTCCAACACCCTTTTGATTCTTGCTTGTTAGTGGTTTGCGGCTGCAAGTCCGATGTAATGACATACCTAGGTCTCATCAAGCTGGTTTTGTATGCTTTATAAGGTTCATGTTCCGAGCTATTTGCATGTTACACAACGATGCTTTAGGTTCATGTTCCGTGATGAGCTTCTTTGCTCAAGGGTGCTAGACCAGCTTTGACAGTACACCTCCCCAAAGTAACATGTCGCCCCCCACCCAATGGTGAACCGTCGTTCCAATGTGGTGCATTCTAGTTTGGCAGCCCCGACGATTGGGCCCGTCCGACTCGGGGGCACCGTGCGAGGACGTTCATTTTCGATATCCCACCGACTTGCGGAACGGCATCTTGAATGGCTTTACGATGACCGTGGAACCGAAGACCAAGGCGAGCCGTTCAGCCGTGGCCTGGGGTTGGCCAGCCGTGGCGGGGCCTACGGAGTCCGAAACCACCGGATTCTCCCCCCCGGTCATGAGTTACTGCTCACGGTGGCGAAACCCCTACGTCGCGCCTTCGCTGCCCACTGCCCGCCGTGCGCTACGCGCGGGCCGTGGGCCCGCGGGGCCAGGTGGCGTTGGTGGGCGAAGCGGGCTGTGGCAAGAGCTCCTGCATGGCCCTGCTGCAGCGCTTCTACGACCCCACCCAGGGCTGCATCCGCATCGACGGAGTGGACCTCCGCGAGTACAATGCCACCGGGACCGGTCGGGTCTCGGTGGAGTGAAACGGGGTCGGTGGTCTCGGGTGAGGCCTCTGCCAGCCGGTGGAGAGGGTCGATCACCAGACGCCGCCAGGCCTCTTTCGTCGACATGGGTGGTTTTGGTCGTTTGATTGTTGTTACATGGATTCGGCACCCATTGCTTGGATTGGCTTCGTCCTGGTGATGTTCGACTTCCCGGATGGTCCGATCCTTTTCGAACTCCGCGGGTCACTGCTGTCGCAGCCTCTTGGCGCTCGCTCCGAAGGGTTTCAGGCGACACGCGCGCCTCCGTTGGAAGGCCTCTCTTCCATTCCATTCCGACCCCTACCACAGTCGCTTGTCACTGGTTCCATGATGTTCCATTCCAACCCCCTGTCGCTTGTTCAATTAGAAAAAGACTTTTGGGGAGTCACCTGTCACTTGCTTCGCTCCCACCAACAAGCGCCGTTCCTTCCCTTTCCTCCGCGGTGCTCTGCGGCTGCTCGGCCCGCAGCACGTCTCAGGTGAATGTCCTGCGTTCCCGGGTGGCCGTGGTGGACCAGCGTCCCGTGCTCTTCGCCAGCTCCGTGCGGGAGAACGTGACCTACGGCCTGCGCCACGAGGTGCGAAGCGGCGCGCGAAGCGGGTCGACCGTGTGGGAAGGCGCAGGTGTTGCAGGGTTCTGGCTCAAAATGGAGTGAAGCAAACATGATCCAAACCACAAGGTGGTGGCGGACTATGTGACGATTTGATGTCTACAATGCGGGTATAGTTGCTCTGAAGAGCTTCCATACACGGTTGGACCGACCGAGCCCAAGCAATTTCGAGCCAAGCCGGTGAATTTCGAGCCCCTGAAGAGTGCGGGAGGTCACCATACCCCCTCAGTGTGTCCTCCCACCCTGTCCAGGTCGTCGCTTTCGACTGCCCCTGTTCCGTGGGCCTCGTCCGCGGAACCCGAGGTCAGCGACGAGGAGGTGATCCAGGTGCTGCAGGCCGGGCGGTTCGCGCCGAGGATTCGAACGGCACAGGCGGCGGGGGCGGGGGCTGGACCAATCGATGGATTCTCCCGGTCACACTCACCTCGCGAAGCAGCCCACTTGCTGAGGTTGGTGGAGATTGCGAGGTGGTTTTATGTTTGTGGGTAGTGACCCGTGGTCACCAGTGCCCTTCTGGAATGGGATGACAATGAAGATGACGAAGGATATGACCTATTGCGAAACTATATTGTTTGCTTTCATGAAAGCAAAAACGTCCCCCCCACCATCGAAGCGGCTTTTTTCTTGCTGCGACCTTGCTGCAGCATCCCCATCCGAGGCCGCCTCCTTGTGGGACGGAAGCAACGGCATCAAGAGCAAGGCAGCTCCTTGGGTGCAGCCCAGTTCAACCGAAGACGTGGAGGACCGGTTGGTCGCTCCGGGCTCAGCGACCGACCGGCGGTGTGCATGCCAGGCTGGGAGGTTCCGGACGGATGCCATTTGGGCGTTCTTCTTCCTGACCCCTCGGCCCCTTCCCTTCCTTCTTGCAAGGCGTTGCCTGCAACCTTAGTATTCCTCAAACCGACTGCATGCGGTCTTGTGTGTGGCACAAAGCACGTAGCTCAGCAGATTGGTCTCGTCTATGGTCACTACCGTGGGATGCCCAGGGCCGCATCCCGTTGGCACTTGGGCCTTTTCCCTGCTTCTGCTCGCTGGGTCGCCTGCTTCTGCTTCTTGTGGTGTGCTCCCCACACACTGGCTTAGCTTTTAGCTTGTCGTGGTTGCTTCTCTGGCTTCTGTCGCTTTCGGCTTCCCGTGGCTTTAGCCTTTGGCTTATTGATCCTCTCCCACCCCTCTGTCTGTGCAAATGACTGCACGGATATTTCTCCTCAGTGAATGCACACATACATTGATGTCACACAAAATATCAAACCCCCACAACATGTGAATGCTTTAGGCCACACAGGTGTTTGCCAGCTAACTGCTTCAAGTCCATCTCCAGGAGATCCCGCCAAAAGGCAGTTTGTCCAGCCATGACCTCCCACCAATCGCCATTAAAAAACACCACATACTATAGTATTCCCACATCGAATATTTTCGGTAAAATGCCAAAGAACCCAAGGAATTCTGCACCTTTCTTGACCTTCATTGTGTCGTAAGTGACTTCCCCGACCTTCCCTCTGACCTTCTCAGGATCGGCTCTTGACCAAACTGGGCAGCGGTGGTATCTCCCTGAGCGGCGGGCAGATGCAGCGGGTCTCCATCGCCCGGGTGATGATCCGGAAGCCGGACATCATCTTGTTGGATGAAGCGCCCCGGACGGGACGGGATTCACCGGAGAGCACAGCACGTCGGTCGGAGCACGTGAGCACGTCGGTTGGAGCACTATAGCATACTATAGCACTATAGCGTTGCACTGATGGGTTGGGGGGGGGAGTCTTGCGGTCTTGGTCGTTGTGGCTGCGCCATCGGCAGTTGTGGCCGGATTTGAGACGTGAGTCCTTTGCTAGTAATTGCAATTCTAAATAAATTCTTATTGTTACTACTAGTAAGGCACTTGTTACTACTAGCGATGCACCTGTTACTAATAGCGATGCACCTGTTCCTAGAGAATCATATTGGTGACGAATGATTCGCTGCATCCTCTGGGTGGTGAAGGTCCGCATCGATATGAGCTTCTCTTGATGCCTGAGACCACCTCTTGAGGCCACCAGTGCTCTGGACAACAAGAATGAGAAGATTGTCCAGGCCGCCTTGCCGTTTCGATGGCTTTTTCCGAAGTGCTTGGGACCGGAACACCGCGAGCCGTGGCGTTCCGCCCGAGATCGGGACGGAGGAAGGCACCGGTTCAACTGGTTTGATCTCTTTTGTTTGGTTTCCGATCTCAAAACCATGGTATTTTCTTCCAACAGGTGTTGGTTCTTTTCCCTCCTTCCATGCTTTTTATTCCTGATTGGAACCAGCACCGATCTCTTTCCATGTGCTTCTTCTTGGTTCCCTTTGGTTCCTTCTTTTCTCGGCTCAAAAACGCACGACCAGTTGGCAGGCTGCCTTGGACCAGTTGGCGCACCAGGGCTCGGCGCTGGTCATTGCGCACCGCCTCACGACCATCAAGGCCACCTCAGTCCGGTCCGACAAAACGGTCGGTGCCATGGTGCCCAGTTTGGGGCGCCCAGTTGTTTCGAAGGAAAAACACCAATCCGTGACATGGGAAAACAGTGGGACCATGGGACATGGGGGGACGAAAAAAGAATGGGGGACGACAGTACGACAGTGGGACAGTGGGACACTGTATGGTTTCTTGCTGAGTGGTGGTGGATCAGATCGTAAAGCATTTAGTGTTGAGTTTCGAATCACAACTAGTCAATTATGACCTCCATGGCCTCCTTTCAGCGGTTGCAACACGGATGGCGAGGACGCTGACAAGATCGTGGTCATGCGAAAGGGCCAAGTGGCAGAGGTTGGCACACATCAGGAGCGAAGAACAAACACCATACTTAGTGCTTTAGCGACAAGCATCTGATGCAAAATGCCAGGGAAACCCATGTGTGGGTGCCCGTCGTTGACCGTTTGCCCCCATGTGTTTCACCGGTGACGAGTCTTGCTCAGAGTCTTTTGAGTTAGGTTTTTCTCCTGCTTGCTGCACCTTCCCTGCCAGTATTTCATGTGTTGGGCTTCGACATGAACCGACACACAGGTGAACCCGGAATTTGTTTGTCCCAGTCAACTAGAAGCTTCCAAAAGGAAAATCATTTCACCTGCAACAACAAGGCTTTGTGTTTTTTGGTGAAGCGTTCTTGATCATTTTCTTCGTTTCCGGATTAGTTTGCTGGAGGAGCTCCTGAAGCTACCCATCCAACGAGAGAAGAACCTTGGGTCTTTTGCTGGGATGAGGGCGCATAGAGAATCGTGAGGGAAAGGGGCTGAAGGTACAGCTTGGGCTGTCCCATTCCCTGTCACAGTCAGGGTCAGTGCAATCATCACTATTTTGGAGGAAGGCATTCACTAACCATCATCATCCACTGTTACAAGGATTGGGATACGTTACACCCACGGTACAGCCCCAAATAGGTTGTCGCAGGCCTGTGCTTGGTGCTACTCGATGAAGCGAACAAGGGTTCCGTGAAGGTTCCCCGTGAAGCCGCAGCTGAATTTGTTGTTGACCTCTATTTACTGTAGCCTACTTGACATCCCAGAAATGGGACGATGAAGAGAATTCATTGGAGGGCACGGAACTGGCTGGGTCTGGTTGTAGGGCGCCTGAAATGGTCCGATCCCCTCGTTTTCTCCCAGAAAAGGGCTCCGCAGTGTCCCGTCATCTCAAACCATGTGAGACCTACTAGGCGTTGGCCGCGATGGCCTCCACCCGAGGAGCACGACGGGCGAGGAGGAGGTGGCACATGGGATCTATCGCTTCCTCTGGGAGTTGCAGTTCGCCGACGAGACCGAGACCGCGGATTCGGCCACGGAAGTCTCTGCTGAGGCGAGAGCTCTCAGGAGTCCCGAAAGCGGAGAGAAAAGGAGATCCCCACGTCGAAGATGTATGGGGTTTCTCGTGCCACTTATCTATTTGGGGATCACTATAGAAAGAAAGCTAGGTTGCATGACACGCTACTAGGGGCTCCTGGCCTTACTACTAGGAGCAAGGACGCTACTGTGGGGCTCCTGCACACCGGTTGGATCCATGGCACGTCGGTCGACGCCTCGGCAGGTGCCCAGCCGGCGGCCGAGCGCGGAGACGCCGATTCTCAACACGACGACGTCCTCGGAGGCGATTCTGGAGGAGGCGATCGGGGCGAAACAGAAAGACCTCCAGAAACACCGCGCACTGAAATAGCCGAACGTGGCCATGGCTGTTTGTTCAGGAGACGCTGCAGGTGTTTGTTTGACCATACGGGTGTGTTGGTCGATACAGCTGAGAACAGCGAATGTTCGCCGTTTTTTGGGAAGATCAGACCGCAAGGAGGATGCAGAGCTATTCCTTTCACCGGTCAATGAAAAGATCCCCATGGACAAGGCGTGGAAAGTGGAGGCGGCTAGGTGAGGCCTCAACTGTCACCAGGGTAGTTCCCAAATGCCTGGCGAGCCAGCAGCTACGGGCGTCTGTAAATCTGCTAAGCCTTGCCAACACCCAGTTGGTACAGGAAACGAAACCCTGCGTCAGCTTCGGCCTGGCAAAGGTCCCGAGAAAAGGAGGAGCATTGACAGTGGATCTTTTGGGGATCGGTCTGAAAGTCACAGAGCGTCACCGGTGGAAGCTGCCATCCGTTTTCGTTCGACAGGCGAGGCCAGCTTCTGGACGCCGGGAGCTGAAGACTGGAAAGCCTTTGGACACTGAGACTTCGGGTGGCGGAGCGCGCGGCTCGGTCCCGCCGCCACCCACGTTGCGGCGAATTCGAACTTTGCCTTGACGACCATCTCTGGGAGGTTAGTGAGGTTTGGTGGGTTGCAAGATGCCAAACAAGCCATGTCACTCATGTCATGATGTCATGTCACTCAGGTTTGATTTCACGTATTGGGAACTTGCAGGAAGCAGGATGCTGTTCTTCAAACCTCTTAGCAGGCACAATCCCAAGTAAGATTTATGAATCTGATTTCTTCTTGAAACAGGGACCAGGTTTCTCGGATCTCATCAACGGAAACGAATGAACAAGGATCAGGGTAGCTGGCGACCACGGGCAAGACTATCCGCGAATGATGTGGTTGTCACCCTTTCTCAGATGAAAACAGCGTGAAACACAGTGATCAAGGTCACACAAGGTCACACAGTGGAGGAAAGTGAAGGCGGATTGGTCCGCTGGCGTTGTCAGCCAGGGTTCTACACGTCCGCTTTGCATTTCTCTTTTGGTGTATCTTTTGGGCACATCCCACCCAGCTGGGTTTGGATGTTTTGGACACGTAGCTAGGGCCTCTTCAGGTGGTCGAAATGTCGATTTTTGGGGTCTGCCTTTTGAGCTGTTCCCAGTCGGAAGGCTTTTGGGTCGACAGCTGTCGGCCTGGGGTGTGTGCAGAGGGCCCCGGCCTCCGACAGACGTGCTGCTCGGGCTACAGACCTGCCGGTTCCGCGGGCGCGAAACGTGCCTCTTTCGGAGTCGTTCGGTGTAGCTCTAGGCCTCTCGGCTGTGGGGATAGAAGGGAAACCGTGAGGGGGGCCCTCTCGTGCTCGGAGTTGATGAGCGATCCGTGATATCACGGATCCCACCGGAGTCAGAGCAACACACCATGTTTGGTGAAAGGATCATCCACCACGAGAGCCTAGAGCGGGAATTCATGGAATAATTCACGTGAATGTAGCACCTTCACAGTCTGTACAGTGGCTGATGCATGATCGATCCATTTGCTTAGCGGAGTTAGGACGTTGATGCTGGAAGTGTTTGGCTTCAAAAACGACCGACTGTTTCTTCCATGTAGGGGCCACGACAGACGCCGCCCATCAGTGCCCACGATCCGCCGCCCCACGATCCGCCGGCCCAAAAACGGCACAATCGGAATTCTCCTTTTGGCACCTCGTGCGGGCCTCAGACTCAAGCAAAGGAATGAAAAGGACGCCGCAGACCGTAGTGCAGTCCTCAAGGTTCAAGATATAGTCATCGCAATCCTTTGCGCCACCAGTGCAAAACATGTAAGGGCATGAACGAAGAAATGTTTGTTGAAGTTTGTTGGAAGCAACATGAACCAACTAGGTTTGACTAGACCCGCTTCATCGAAGTGAGGGTGAAGAACTTCCGGAAGCTACCCAGCGAACCGATGGCAGGCAGGCGGCCTACAACTGTCAAGATGCTGCAGCCCAGCAGGTGTGTTGTGAGGAAAGTGCAACAAGAAGTGAACATGGCAAGTAAGCAAGGCAAGGGCTTCAGTTCATAAAGGTCGATATCAGTTGTGAGCGACATTCTTGATGACGCTGTGTGTACAAAAGCAAGCCTGTGCCGTTACAAACGCACTGGCTGCCGTCAGCATTGGAAGTTGGCTGCTTCGTTAGAAGTAGCTCACATTTGCATTTCTTACAGAAAGTCAACTCAACACTTCCCCTAATGTGCCTCTGGGGGATGAGTGCTTTGATGTCAATAGTGTGCCTCCTTTGGACCTTTGCCCTTTGGAAATGGTGGAGCCAGATTTCACTTTGTTTCTTGAGCAAGAGCTCCCAAATGACCGTACACGCCCACAAGATATGTAGTGATGCTGCCATGGGTCATGCGATTGGAGTGTCATGCGTATGCCGCACGCAGCATGAAGGAGAAGGGTTTTGTTTGCAATGCTCAGAAAACCCTTCCCAATCAAGCTTTGCCAAGGTTTTGGCAGCATACAGAGCCCCACTGCTTAGATCATGCGAGAACTATTTTTTTGTTTCCGCTACTTGCAGCGGCCCGGAAGGGCCACGCATCATGTGTCAAGATCCTTATCAACGCAAGAGCCAACCTGAAACGAGTGGGGGAGCACCGTGGCGATTTCCCACTACTGCAGGATGGGCATGTAGAATGTGTTCGGCATTTGATTGATGCAAAGGTGGATGCAAATCAGGTGAATAAGAAGGGCGAATTCCCACTCCTCATGGCCGAACAACATGAGCATGTGGAATGCGTCCAGCTCCTTCTAAAAGCAGGTGCAACCCGGGAGTCGCATCCGCTCGCACCCTGCGCACGAGGAGAAAGTGGAAGAAGCTTCCCCGAAGTGAAGCCACGGCACAGCTTTGCAGCTGCGAGCGTCGCTGAGGTTGCGGAGGCCTTTTGAAAGGCTTATTGCTTTTATGAGTCCCTCAGTGGGCTACACATCGGCAAGGAGAGGTTCACCCCGACCGCTGTCCTGACATCGATGATGCGGAGAAGAAAGGCGTTGGTCAAACCGTGCGGCGTTGGTCACACTTGGTCGAACCGTGCGGTCCGGGCCAGGTCCACAGTTCAGGGTCAACTCACTTGTTGTGGATCCGTCCATGTGCACCAGGTTAATGCTTGACTTCTAAAGATATAAGGCTCACGGAAAAAAAGCACGGGGGGATGTCCGTGTACCCGTCCTCTTCCCGTCCTCGTACTCTTCGGACCTGTTTCAGCCGAGCCGAGCCGACCGCACGGGGGCAGACCGTTGAGTGGCTCCGATCAGCACAAACGAGTGCCTTCGACTGAAGAGTTTCGACGTCGGCTGCGGGTCATTTGGCGTAGTCTTCAAGCCACGAATGCGCCAAGTGAGGGCACTTAGGGCATGTTCAGACTACTTCACATGAAGGCGCGCCAGATGTCCCGAGACTATGACGCCATGAAACCCGCCAGCGAGTCCGGCGAGGACAGCGAAGCCAGTGGGGATGAGCACCTCAGCGTGACCGTTCCGTCGGCGGGGCCCGTCGGCGACCGGTTTCGACCGGTCTTCGACTGCCAAATGAGCTCGGTGGTGCATGGGTAACATGCCCACAATCAAGCGTAGCTCTATATATCTATATATCTGAGAAATTGAGTTGAGCCAGAAGATTGTCTAAGAAAATGCATCAGCGGAGGGGTTTGGGTTTTCACTTCTACAATGGAAGAACTTAGGAGTATGCAAAATCAGGAGCTGGTTTGCCGCCCATCGTTTTGATCTACTAAAATTCCTGCGCACAGCATATATAGATGCAAGGTATACCTCGCATGAGTGCGCACAGCAGCACCATTTCTTGTGGGGGAGCCCTTTGCAACCCACTTTTGCAGAGGGGGTGCCGGTTGTATAGGCGCTTCATGTTTGATCACTGACGACTATCCTGATAGCTGCTCATGACAGAGCACGTGTCATGTTTTGGACGTAGACATTGCACACCACCCGCTGCTCGTTCTCAAACAATCACCCTTTCGGATCTTAGTTGGGTCATCCTGAGCGCCAAGGCGGCGCGCCACACCGACGAATCGAGGCCTTTCCCGGTGGACGAGGTGAGCCGGATCCGCTGGGCGGAGTTGATGTCCTCGTCCCAGCGCGGCGAGACCTTCCGGGAGCGGCTCGGGCTGGGTCTTGGGGTCGCCGTCCGGCGGCCGCGGAACCAACGGTACGGTGGACCGACCGGTGGATCGATGATAGCTCGGTGATGTGGCGATGGGTTTCTGAAGGGTCTTTGGCAAGAAAGGCGAAATTTGGATCTCTGAAGCAGATGTAATGGTCTGGAACATGGCCAGGCATGCAAGCCTCCTGTTCCAGTACTTGGCATTTTCTCCAGATCTTACTGTGTACAAGTCCTCATCCACACTCATATCGGGATCCCCCTTCACTGGAAGGATTCGCCGGAAGGACTCGTTGACGTCCGACGACGCTCCCGGGATGCGGGACGGGATCTGACGCTGGACCGAGGCTGGCGCGGGACTACGCCGACCGGATCTGGCTGATGCACAAGAAAGCCAGGCTCAGCGAGGCGCAAAAGACGCCTCGGCTGCACTAGGCGTGTGGAGGTGTGGACGACGAGAGGGAGGAAGCTGGGTGCTGACCTGGAAGGCTCCAATGATTCTGAGCGAATTCCAACTTGATGAGTGGTGAGAAGCGCAGATGGGCGGTCGCCGAACGCCACCCGATGGGAACCAACGTTTTTTGGGCTTCGCGTCGATCGTTTTTGCGTGACACGTCATGGACAGGAGGGCAAGCAGGATTGAGCGGCTCTATCACATCAAATTGGTGTCCAGGTTCATATGGATTTGGTGTGGCTTTCCCTTTTTTGGGGGGTAACATGGGGAGGTCTCCCTATTATAATATGTAGGACCCACCCATATGTTCACCTCAGACTTTTCTCCTGATGACTGGGAGGTCTCCCTATCGACCCAATCTCAGTTGCACAGCGAACCTGCGAGCGGAGTGAGGAGCTTGGAAGCTGCCCAGGAAGCGCGAGAGCGAGTCGATCTGCGCACGGCCCGGCAGCGCGACTGGGCGGCAAACGTCTGGGCAGCCGCGCTGCATGGTGCCACCGGTGGCGCTTGGTTGAGTCCCAATTTGTTCATTCGGCCATTCATCCACACGGGTTGGCTTGCGCAGGGAATGTAGCTGTAACGGAATGGCGACCCAAACGAGAGAGAGAGAGAGGGAGGAACTGGGCCATCATTGGCTGGCGATTTGTGGTGAAATAGATGGCACCGAAGACGGAGGATGGCCGACCCAAAAATGGAGAACCCTCCGGCAAGAGAGGTGCTTGCAATTAGACAACGCTGTGCGATGGTCTAATCTCCACTTCAGAGATGATGGTTTTGGCCATGTTTGGCCCAACCGCGGCAAAGACCCCTGTCAAGTTTGTCAAGTGTCATCATTCACAGCAGTCCCAAGTTTTATTGACCAAAACCTAGGCTTTGGCTGAAGGTTGAGTCAGGGGCGACTGTGGTGAGCTGTGGCTTTTTCTACTAGGCGTCCCGTGCCCGGTGCCCCGAGCTGAGGACCTGAGGTTGTTCTGGGCTTCAAGCAGGAGGAGGAGCATGCCAAGAAACTCATCGAAGAGTTGCAGGCACCTTGCGGCGTTCGCCCGACTCAA